GCTGACTCTGTAAACCGCTTAGAGAGGGCTGAAAGCCCTATGAAGCGGTATATAAGTCTAACTGCTATTGCTATTAACATATCCTTACGTTATATACTTTTAATCTTGTCTCCTAAACTACAACCTCTAACAGTCACTGTCTGGCGTAAGTTCAAAGAGATAGTTAAATACTATGGAATCTTCTTTAAAAGCAATTCAAGGTTATTCGAGGCTTGAAAACCACTGGATCCATGTTTGGCCCAATATGGAAGTATTTTAAATTGTGAATTCCAAACATCAAGCTACAGCCTGCCAAATGAACAATATTTTAACACAATACTGTCCTGAGTTGCAACTTAGGCAATGTACCATAATTAAGCATGTTGGGTATTAGCAATCATGAATCAGGAATGCAATTCTTGCCTTTATTGGGTAATAGGCAACTATCTTTTCCTGCAATATAATCATCATTTGCTGAATGTTAATAGATAGTTTGAATTCACAAGGATAGTGTAATTACCCAACTTGATTCTTAAATAAAATTGTCCTAAAAGGTATATGGCGAGAAGCTGCATGAAAACTTAGTGTTTAGTTATAGTTTATAAACTAGACCAAGCCAGTACCAAATGATATATAAACAGCTCTGCATCATGATCAGAAGTGAGAGATGTAACTTGGGAACAAAAGTAACATGTCTATGCCTTGCAGATAAAACACTATGTTCCTATCATAATTACAAATTCCTGACACTTCTATTAGGCAAAACCATTTTATGTAGAACTGAAATCCAGGTTTTAAGTTCCAAAGCCCTAAATGGATTGAAAGGTTTTTTTAAAGAAAAAATGCTGACTTTTCCTCCAGATCCTTTGAATGAACCCAATTCTGAATGTGCCATTAAAATGCACATTCATGTTGCAGGGGGGGGGGGGGAACGACCTGAAATGTGCTGAAGCATATACAGGTTGTCTTCAATTTACAACCATAATTGCTCCAATTCTTCTCACCTCTGAATTCCATATATCCCTGCCATCTGTAAATCGGGTTTTAAAACTGTGTTTTGAAGATAATAAATGCAGAGTAACAACATAAAGTACAATAAAACTTATATCATCTATACTGTAGTTTATATAGTAATCGATTCCTATTGTTTCTATTACAAAATAGAACAAGAACCAGGATTGCCTAGGGAAGAGCAAAAAACTAAGCCATAGTCAATGTGCATAAATCAGTAGGAGCAGTTGGTCAGTGGCTTAAAAGATGTCAGAGAAGGTCTATACTACGGCAGTTCGAGTCCTAGCACCACATGACAGAGTGAGGTCCCATCACTTGCCTCTGTTCCTGTAAAACTAACAGTTCGAAAGCATGTAAATGCAAGTAGGTGGGAAGGTAAAAAAATGCTGTGTTTCGCCATATGCTTTGCGCTGCAGAGTGATGTCATGCTGCTCACAAGTCTTCAGACAGCGTTAGCTCAATACCTTAAAGAAATGGAGATGAGCACTGCCTCCTAAAGTCCTCTATGACTAGTGGAGTAAAACTGCAGGGGACACCTTTACCTTTCTGCAAAGAGTCAATGTGTATGGAGAGTTGCATGCAGGTGACCTCTAGCAGAAACTCCTGTGGAGTAAATGGCCACGGAAGAGCAAGTACAAGTAGTTCCCTAATTTTTCACTGTCATTCACAGAAACCTGATGAAGATGAAGCACACATGAAAGTGTATTCTCTTTCCGTACTTCAACAGAATACCACTCCCATGAATACTGAATGCTTAAGAGTTACAATTTTTGACCATCAGGAAAAAAATGAGAAGAGTACAAAAAGATGGCACAAACCTCATGTGGTTGGCAATTAAATACATGTTCAAAATGTAAGCTTATCACTTGAAGACTATATTCAACTTCAATAAAGCCTATTCTTTGGAGCCAGGAGTATGAAATGCAGCCTTGTCACTAACGCTCCCTGCTGGACAGCTTTTAAAGACTAGCGCAGCTGCTGCCTTTTCACCCTTATAGATTAGACTCCTCACAGAGGTAAATAAAATTAATATGCAGGTAGTGCTGGTTTAGCAACCAGAACTGGGACTAGCAACTCAGTTGTTAAGCAAAGCATTTGCTAAGTGGAAACTGAGACTGTGCTTAGGACAGAGGTGGTATTCAGCAGGTTCTGACCATTTCTGGAGAACCGGTAGCGGAAATTTTGAGTAGTTCTGAGAACTGGTAAATACTAACTCTGACTGGCTCCGCCCCCATCTATTCTCTGCCTCCCAAGTCCCAGCTGATCGGGAGGGAATGGAGATTTTGCGAAACCTTCCCCTGGAATGGGGAGGGAATGGGGGATTCTGCAATATCCTCCCCCTGCCACACCCACCAAGAAACGCTCACAGAACCGGTAGTAAAAAAATTTGAATCCCACCACTGGTTTAGGAGCTTACTTCAGCTTTCCTTTGCTTTACAGTCCTGTGAAGGTTGTAAAATTAGTTTTTCACTGCCGTTGTAATTGCAAATAGTCACTAAATAAGAAAGTTGTTGAATGAGGACTCCTTGTAATTGAGAATGTTAAGATAATAAAGGTAATTCTGTCCTGCTGAGTTCTTCAAAGCTGTACTTAAGTTCATGACTGATCAAAGAAAATAGCCTTTTAGTGAGTCTCAGAACCTGAAAACCATAGAGGAGCTCACAAAATCAATCAGTGGCCTGGGATGAAACTATTATGTGGTGAGTTTTATTTTAGTTAAAATGTTGGTGAAACCAGACTTTTTGATTTGTAATAAACCATTCATGGCTTAGTAGGAAGTAAGTACGGTGCTCTGATTGTAGTTTATTCAATAAATTGTGAATTAGCAAACTATGGTTTAGCGTGATACATAGACCCATATTTTATATGTTCCTGTCAAAAGATGAGGCATTGCAAACCTCTTCTGCTTGTCTGTTCCAGATCGTACCTAAAAGTGAAATAAATTTCCCATTTGTAAAATGTGAGGACAAATTTAGATAATTTGGTACCCAGCTGATTCTTCATATGCATGGACAAGTTTTCTGATCGTGACCTTACCGTTAAGGAGCCAGGTAATCTGAGGAACAGGTATCCCCTCAACTGAGCATCGAAGGGTAAAATCTTGCCCTTCACTCACGTGACAGGATTTCAGGACTCGGAGAAAATGGGGAGGTACCTCCTTCACTTTAGGCCCTACAGATCAAAGCAAAAGGCAGTTATGAAACTCAGTGCTAAGAGATGGTCTCAGAATAAGATATTGTAGACCAATGACAAAGTTAATCCTTAAAGAGAAAAAGTGGCAGAAGCTTAAGTGAGAAAAATTAACCAAGTTTAGCTGCTTCTAGTCAAGAACTTTAGAAATAATTCCTATGAACTGAATTCATTCTAAAAACCAGAATGCAAATTGATATCTATAAATTATTTATCATTCATATCCCTAAATTTGCTTACTTCTTGGTGACTCTAGGCAGCACACAAATTTAACACCAAAGAAGTAGAACAGCAGCAGAAAACAAAAAAGAAAGATAGTCATCATACTGAAATAGACATAAAGCACATCACGGGAAAAACCTCATATCCCACCCTAGCTCAAAGATTGGGGAACAGTCAAGTCTAAAAGGATGTAGCACTGGCATTATTTAGTGTGTTTTATACTACCTGTATGAAAGGGGTATCCTTTTTTTCTTTTTCCAGTGAAGAAACTATTATCTACCTAGGCAGTCACCTAAGCATATTTTGCAACTAAAAGATGCTTACTTTTTACTGTCAATAGCCACCTGGTTGAAGCTTGTCCTCCAGGATTGAAAGCTTTGCAAGAGTAAAATCCACTGTCTTCCAGCTGAGTATTTTTCAGGCATAAACAATGGACTCCATCTTCTTCATATATCAGGATGCCGTCTCCCGTTTCCAGAAGGGCTCCTTCTTTGAACCATTCAACAGTTGCCTTGGGTTTCCCTGAAACTGGTTCATTACAGGTGAATTAAGCATGGGGCTGGTGATCAAAAATTTACAAATTCACAATGTGTCTTTTTGGCTACCACCAATTTCTAGCTTTGCCTTTTAATGAGTAACCATAATTTTGACACTGCTAAAAAGTTAACTCAGCTTTTAAAGATTAGATTTGTGTTATTCATTTTTTACTGACCAATAACCAAAATAAAATTTGGCTTGTCTAGATTAAATTTTACAATCATAATTTACAGTCATAATCTTAGTTGCAAAACTATCATATGACATGCTGTTTGGAGAAAGTTGAATTTGAAAATTTTTCCAATGAATAATCAAGGCAGAATATTTTTTTGGCTCATCCTATTAATCTTAAATCAGCAGACTTAAAAAAGATTTTATTTAACTAGAGCCACAGGACAGTACTGCAGAGATATATTTTCCAAATTTTCCTTCAGATTTTTTTAAAAAATGAATGTAAATGAAAAAGCAATGACACATTATTTTTCAGTTTTTAATTTTCAAAGTTAAAACCAACCGTTACATTAAATCAAAATCCACTAGACTGTGCTTGAATTTAATTAAGAGAGCTAATGATATAAAAACATTGAACTCAAAGTTTTAAATAGTTGAAACATCTTCCTACTGTGAATTTGCCATCTCTGTCTAGCCAACATGTGGTAGCAGGATATTTTTGAATGCTCTTCCATGTTAAAGAAGTACAACATAACAATAATATTAAACCAACTCTGCTAATTCTCCTAAATTTCTATACAAGTAGTCCTTCAGTTACAATCACAATTGAGCCCAAAAATTTATGTTGTTAAGTGAGACATTGCCCAATTTTGCCACCTTTCTTGCCTCAGTTGTTAAGTGAATCACTGCAGTTGATAAGTTAGTAACCTGGTCAGAGGTGGGTTGCTACCAGTTCACACCAGTTTGGGTGACCCAGGCTGGCCACGCCCCTGAACCGGTTCCCCAGTCGCCGCTGGCATGTCTTTTAATAATTTGTTCATGTTCTATGCATGCGCAGTCAACCGCACATGTGCGCCCAATGAAGTGCGCATGTAACAAACCGTAGCAAACCGCAGCAACACTGGCACCAACCCACCCCTGAACCCAGTTATTAAGTGAATCTGGCTTTCGCATTGGCTTTGCATGTCAGAAGGTTGCAAAAGCTGATCACATGACCCCAGACACTGCAACCATCATAAATATGAACCAGTTGCCAAGCGTCTGAATTTTGATCACCTGATCATGAGGATGCTGGAAAGGATGTAACTATGAAAAACAGTCATAAGTCACTGTTTTCAGTGATGCTGTAACTGAACCATCACTAAATGAACTGTTGTATTCTCTTTAGAACATGTAAAGTCTGCAATGCACATGATTCTCCCTGTGAAGTGTAAAGTAACACAATCCATTCTATTCTATTCCCTCATGCGTCTGCATACATACCCATGTGTTATTAATATATCTTTTGGCTTTCATTATCAAATTATAAAGCTGAAAGCAGGAGTGTTACGTAGCCAGTTTGACCTGTGTGATCTGATTGTAACATTTTTTTCAGCTCTTCCATCAGTTTCCTCCAGAGGGGGCAGTTTGTTGGGCACTAGAGCTGAACTGTTACACCATTCTAGGAAGACCGAGTACTATGCCTCTTGCACTTCATTTACTTTTTGAGGAAGACAAAGCCTCTTGATGGGAGGTGATATAATGCTGAACAATAGAAACTAATCACACATACCTTATAGTTACAGTAAGTGCAGTTATTTGTCTATGCTTGAGGAAACAAGAGGGCAACCGACATTGCCCATGTTATGTAAAAGCTCTGGCTGGAAACATCTCAACCCTTGTCAAGGGGGGGGACCCTTTTGATATCCATGATGAGCTGGCCATCCATTTTCTGTTTAAAAACATCCTAGAAAGGAATCATTCTTACCTCTGCATCTAAATGTAACCACTTCTCCTTCCAAAGCTTCTTGGCTCTGAGGCCGACACTCAAATTGCGGAGGGATTCTCTGAATCTTTATTTCTGCGGCATTCTTCTTTAACCCAACATTATTTTCCAATTCTTCAGAGGTCACGTTATCTGGCTTGGTAGACAACGCATCCTGCCAATCTGCTACCAGTAACTGCTTTGTTTTTTCTCCATTAACTTCCTGTTCAGAGGAAACCGCCTTCAATTCTGCCTTTGGTCCGGGCTGTACTTTCACAGAGCGAAGAGTTATAGTGCTTGATGTTTTCTGCAGAAGTTGTTGACCTTTCTTCTCTTCTTTAGGTGGCTCTCTGCTGGGTTCCTTCACTTGTTGCAATTGAGTCTCTCTGGCTTCTTTGGGTGGAACAAGGTGAATTTCTCTTTTCACCAATGGCCTTTCTTTGGATTCTAGCAAAAGCTCTGTAGTAGTTGATTTGAGGTCTTTAACTATCCCATTGCTGGTGGGTTTTCTGATCTCTGAGGTTTCAATAGCTTTGGTAATATTGGTGGATTTTGTAGAGGCACTGGGTTTTACTGATGTGCTAAAGGGAAAACATTTTCTTAAGCCAAGAGAACAATTTGTAAAAGTAAGTTTATTTCTTAAAAACCACTTGCTTAATGTTTGAATGTTGATTTTAGGCAGGGCATTTGATTTCTGTTCCGTGACGTTGTTTCACATCAAATGTGTATAATATTTTAGGTAAAAGGAACAGAATTGCATTCTTATAGGCTACTTCTGTATAAATAAAATGATCGAGGATGAGGCAAGCCACTCTTTATAAGGCCAATGCATATACGTATTATGAAGCAAACCAAGTAAAAATCCCACATTTATTTTTCAGTAACTTCAGTAAAAATAATTTCAATAAACAAAGCTTGAAACATTCAGTTCCATTGTTAAGTTTAATGGGCAATGTTTTTTAGGAATAGGAACAAAAAACTCTAGCAATAGCAATAGCAGTTAGACTTATATACTGCTTCATAGGGCTTTCAGCCCTCTCTAAGCGGTTTACAGAGTCAGCATACTGCCCCCAACAATCCAGGTCCTCATTTTACCCACCTCGGAAGGATGGAAGGCTGAGTCAACCTTGAGTCGGTGAGATTTGAACAGCCGAACTGCAGAACTGCAGTCAGCTGAAGTAGCCTGCAGTGCTGCACTCTAACCACTGCACCACCTCGGCTCTATGGCAGCTTACCAGTGGTGGGATTCATTTACCTTCCCCACCGGTTCGCAAATGTGGGCGTGCTTTCACAGTTGTATTGTGTGTGTGAATGTGTGCACACGCTTTAATGATTTGTTAAAGCCGCTGCAGCTTTTTTCAGGCTTCCAAGAAAGCTTTCACGAAAAACAGAAGTGGTTTGCCTGTTTTAGGTCTGAACCCCTACTTCTGAGCCATGCCATAGCTCTATTCCAAATGCAGGGCCAAATGGTTTACAGTTGGGGACAGCTCCCTCATTACAATGTTTAAAAGATTTGAAAAAGAACCAAAATCTCAGATGTCAATGAAATCATAAAATCTCAGTTTTCTCAGTGGAGATCTTAACAGATTGGCTCACTTCTATTTTTTTTTTTATTGCCTTTACATTTTTGTCTTGGGACTATAATATTGGGCAAAATCACATAAGGGGCTCACAACTTGAAAGAAATGTAATCTCTTACATTCCTTTCTTAGCACTACTAATTACACAGTCCCCAACCATGCAAAAGTTGAAATGCTCTAATACAGGAGCCCCTCTACAACCATATTTCATGTTTGGCTATTGAAGATTCAATGACATAAATAATTTACTATCATACAGCAGGTAAGCTGAAGGCTTAAGCAATAATAAATAATAACATAAATTTGTTATCTGTGTTGTTTTTAAAAGGTAAAAATTAAGATAAAGGAGGAAGGAATGGAAAATACATACCAAAGAGGTTGAGAACATGCATCCCTTTTTAGAGAACCTGAAATGATAAAAGATTAAAAATAAAATCTAACATTTCAAGCTAAAGTACAAATTGCAGTTTGCTTTAAGATAGAACTATACTTCTTCATCCTTGGTCTCATGTTAATTTATCCCTGAACATAGATATCTGCAGGGAAAGAGAAAACAGGTTAAATGACAACACTTGTTTGACAAGGTTGTCATGTAAATGGCACAGCTTTAACACAATTACAAAATAGCAGTGTTTGTATGATGGCAAAATCATATATACACAATCATTTTGGTACCATTACAATTCACAGCAGATGTAGTTTCCAAACACAAAAAGAGAAGACGGAAAGAATAAACTTAAGAAATATGGAAAGCAAAAGTATTTCTATTATTGCTCCTTTCCTTTCCTGCCTTGTAAAATAATAAAAAATAATATTGATTAATTTGAACTATGAATTATATTGCAATAATGAATAACACCATAAGGTTCAGGTAGAACTTATCATTAGATCCTGAGTGAAATAAAAACTGATGGCATTTTTGAGGCCATGACCAGAAAGCAGAAGTTCATGTGATTTCAGCATTTGATGTGATCAAATCAAGGCTAGACAAAACAATTATACTTGGCAAGGTTCAAGTGTACAGAAGAATGGGAAGATGATCAGTAAGGCAGATAAATGAGATCAGGGAACATATCATTGAAAAGTGTTACCATGATAAAAATGGCAGGAATTTCTTGGAAACAACACAATAGCCATTAATTAAATTGTTGGCATATAACTAACTAGAGAAGGAAATCAAGTGTCTCTTTAGATATATGTTCTTTTATTTGATGTGTTTTGGCCTTCTGCAATGCACTTTGCTTGGCTGCTGCCTTTCATCCTTAATCTCCTTGGCAAGGAACTACCTTCTGATCAGATTTGAGAAGCTCAAACTCACATGAAATCATGATTCAAACCTTTGAAGATTACAAAGGAATTACTTTTTATTTTTATCAAAGATTGGTCTACTCTTGCCTTTCAGCTTTTGCTTCTTTCTGATCCAATTTTAATAATCAATGCTCAGTTAGTTTATAGTCTGTAAAAGAAAAGATACATTAGAAGGGAGTAGGATTTGCTCTCATTTTATATACTAATGGTGTTGATCTTGGTAGTTCCTTGATTAGGCTGTTGTTTATTGTTAGCTTGTTTGATTATGTAACACCAGATTAAGGAATTAATATGAAGTTAATAGGATGACATTGGGCCAGGCTTTTATGTAACATTTTTACATGGTTGAGTATTAATGGGAAAACCATACTCTCTTATGAATCATAATTCCTTTAAATATGAAATAGTTTACAGAAGCAGAAGCAACAAAAGAATGACATCATCATAATCATTCTCACTACCATCAATAATTTCACTCACAAGATGTCTTCAATTTTTAACTGTGACTAGGAGGAAGAAAAAGGAGCCTGGATTTCATTATAATCTGTTTCTAATAAAATAAAATGCAACTTAAAAAAAAATTAAACCTGACCTGTATGTTTGGACCATAATTTAGGAGTCACTCTGAAAAAAACAGGAGGATGGAAAGAATTTTGAAAAATAAAAGAAGAACTGGCCCAACTCTTGGAAATTTAGTTGGCATGTCTGCATTTTTTTCCTTTTAGTCTGTTTTGACCATACCTTGAACCATGAGTTCTGCAGTCACAGAAGCCTTCCCAGCATTATTCATCAAGGTACAAGTGTAAATTCCAGCATCAGCCAGCTGAACATTTTGGATTTCCAAAAACTGGATGCCTGCTTTCTCAAACATGTTAAAACGATCATTTTTCTGCACCTGAATTTCATCCTGCATGCATGAAGAAATAAAATAACACATCTAGATGTATTCATGAAAAGAGAAAAATATTATTTAATTTCATGCTTTATTATTTTATTTCCCAATGCAGGGCTTTTCTTGGCATGTTCATACAATGTTAAAATAATCCTCAAAAATAAACCATTCCACTCTATACCAGAAACAAAGTAATACTCAAACTATGAGAACTAACTATGAGAGTTAGTTTCTTTAAGCCAGGTCAGGATCTTCTATTTTTATTTGAATAAAGATTTGTCTGAGTATGCCATCCTTAAAGGTAACTTCTAGCTGTATACTTGTCTTAGTTTTTTCTGTTGGGCTTCTCAACATTAAAGCAGGCAGTGAAAAAATATCTGATAAAGTGGGCCAAAACTTAGTTATAATATACAGATGGAACAATGGAAATATGTGGTTGAAAGGACTGAAATTTACATTACATTATAAGGTGATTTTTTTTAATAAAATGAGGTACCACTAGTATATGCCAAAAGAGAGATTGCTAGAATATTTAAAGGCAATTCAAATTTATGTTGGAAATGTGAGACACAAGAAAGGATATTTTACCATATTTGATGGAAATTTTAAAAAGGTAGAAAATTTAATACACCTGTTCAGAGGATTACGTATGTAAATCCTCTGTATGTAAAAATCTAGAAAATACATACACTTGTTCAGAAGATTTTAAAGATTAATATATATGTGAAATCAGAGGTTTTTCTTTTGGGATTGATGGAAAAACAGTTGAAAAAAGCCACAGAACTTCATTTTTATACATGATAACTGCAGTGAGATTATTGCATGCACAAAGGTGTGTAGATTCAGCACTACCCACAACAGAGAATGGTTGAAGATAATGGAATTTGCAGAGATGGCTAAAATTGACTTTGAAAAGATAAAAGACAGTATCTATATTTATTGCTAATACTCCTTATGGGTATTTTGCATGAAACAAAATAAAATGAATTTATGATTTATAGTTTTGATGATGGGACAGAATATAGAAAGAAGAGAGCTATTAACCATAGAGTAAAAGGTAAATTTATAATTGTACTTAAAACTCTTGTAAAGAAGATCAGAAACTATGTTTACATTTCTTGATTTGTTTCTTGTTCTCTTCTTTTTCTCACTTTATATCAGTTTGTATTAGCTTATATCCTTTAAATTTTTTTTAAATAAAATTGTGTATGTTACTCACACACAGACACACAAACTAAAACAAGCCAGGATTAGAGGGCAATGAGTGTTTAGAGTGGCCATGATCTATAAGAATTCCATCGAGCTGTATGCTCTGTCAATTTGGAGTGCATAGTGCTATCTTTAGATGAGTGGGATATGTATGGCAACTGTTAGCTACCATGCATCCTGCTACTTTTTCCTCTTCCTGAGCTAAATGGGTTACTCAGGGACATCTCACTGGACCAGCCTATTTCCTTGACCTATGGTATATCAATGACCATTCTGATGTAATTAACCATATTCAACTAGGATTTTTTAAACATTTTGTGATGACCACAAACCTATCTTTACATGTTTTTGGCCTGTGATTGAAGCATGGCACATGTTGCATTTCACTTTCTGTTCAGGTGGAATTGGTGGTTTTAAGATGGAAGAGCCTTGTGCAACTTTATTATCTTGGACAAATCATAGTCAAGAGTTTTATCCATAAACTTCTTCAGGGGTAAAGATCCCATACTTGAACCCAGGTACCCAACAGATTTGAATGATTTCTTGATTATGCTTCTGTATCATTATTTGCAATGCCGTTCATGGAAACGGATTGGTAATTGACCCTACTCTACTGTTCGTAAGCATTCCCTTCCTTCTTACAGAGCCGGACGACATAATAGAGAATAAACAATGATGAAGCGGATAAGACATCAGTTATAGCAGAGCACAGAAATTCTCAGGTGTAGTCAGATTAAGTGAGCAAAGCCCACCTGAATAGTTCAATTGCAGTGGAGACAGAAATAATATTTACTTCTTCTGAACCAGCCAACCCTGCTTTTCCTACTGTGTGACATTTCTTCTACCAAGGGAAGGCTCTGTAATAATTATTTTTATGTTCAATCTGCAGTATTCTTTGTGATCAGGGTAATTAAATCTATCTACAATGTGACATTGGGGGCAGATCAGAGAGAGAAAACTTTGGTATGTGCTTCTCCCTCTCTCTCTCCTTCCCTCTTGGGCGGGGTGTAGATCCCAGGAATGTGGGCAGACTATGTGGAGAGACCATTTGCTTAAGTAAACCAAAGCAAGACTGGTCTCATTAAAGAAAGTTGATCAATACTTCTTCATGGGAAGGATGTGTTCCCCTTTGCCTAAGGGCTTGCAATAAAAGGTTTACTCCTCATTTAAATCAGTGGATCTATAGAGTCATTTCAAATGCTTAATTACTGGGAAAGGTAATCAAGAAAGTGGTGACTTCACAGGTTCAGCATTTTCCGAATGCATTTCAACAGAATTTTGGCCTGGTCCTCATTTGTATTGCTTCAAAACTATGACACACATTCTCAAGGGATTTGCATTTGACTTCCAACTCTCTCCGCATTTAGAAAATCTATACAGACAGATTTCTTTTACCAGTATTTTCACTTGTAAGTGATTCTGATAACTATTTTTAATTTTAATAAATTTAATTTTAGCTTCACGTTGCATAGTGACAAGAAATTATCTGATCATTTTATACCATCAGAAGTCAGAAATACTGTATTACAGACCGCTAAAATTAGAACACTTTGAGATGGCAACATTGATTTGTTAGATTAGGAAAAAAGAAATTCTTAATAACTGGAAACCCTTTTTGTACTTTTTGCTGAAAATGGAAAAAAATGAACATGTATTTTGATGCTTAAAAATAATAAATAATAATAGAATATGGAAAGAAGGGAGCCATGATGGAATCTTAGAGAAAAGGGGGATAAAATATAAATGCATTTATAATTTCTGTGATCAGAAGCTACTCCTTTATTTCTTTCCTTTTTCCTTTTATTACTTGTGTATTTACTTACTATATTTTTCTTTAAATTATTATTTTTACTTTGCAAAAAAACCTAAGTAAAAATTAGACATTGAATAAAGTTAGGACACTGTATGAAAGCCTGTCTTTCAATGTTAATAAAAGGATACATTCTGATATGCCAAACCACAATTTTACTAGGGATGCAAAAGGGGATTAAAATATCTATCCCCCCCTAAATATAATAGAAAAAGGGAAAATGAGTCAGAATTGAAGATCCTCTCAATAGACAAGTATAATCAACTCTTCAGAAAATCCGAATAGCTGTGAAATCAACTATACCTTGAACCAAATGACCCGAGGCTGAGGTCGCCCTGTTATCTTACAGGAAAATTTACCATTCTGTCCTTCTCGTACAATAACCCGGTTGGGTTTTGTAGCAAACTTGGGTGGACATTCGCCCCAGATGCTGGGCCGTTGTTCTATAGGTAGAACAGTAGACTGACCCCTGGAATGAAGTAATCAAATATCATTACTGAATCATGCTTCTTAATGAATTTCAGAATATTGAAGGCAATATATAGCAAAGTGCCACTCTGGAAATGAATTCCACATATTGTCCAGGAGTACAACGTGTATTTTCAAGCATTAGAAAACAAAAGCTTGCTTTTTCCCCCAGCAGTATGGGGAGGCACACATGCCCATACTTGAACAAATGGTAAATTTAGATTTGGTACAGCAAGAATATACTTGGTCTCTATGAAAACTCTAAATAATTAAGAAAGAAAAGGAAACTGTGTGCATGAATGTTAGTGCATGCATCATGGAAGTCCAACTCAACTGTGTGAACATTTGGAAGATGTTGTACGAGCATAAATCGGGTAACTTTCTCATAGCTATCATTAGATTAATTGAAAAATATCAGAGTTATCCCCCCCCCCCACATTTGAATGGCTTGGAAAAAATACCTCACCTAGAAGCCTCCTTCTACTTGCAAAAGTACTAATAGAAAGAAGCCATCGTGACCAAAAGGGAAAGAAAAACAGCTCCTCGATTGAAAATATCCCACTTTGCTTTGACTCTCATAGGATATTCTCCCCACAGGTAAATGAACTCGTATGATACTATGAAGCTGACTCTAATACAGGAGTGTCAAACTCAAGGACCGTGGGCCGGCCCCCATGCCTCATTTTGGCCAGCAAAATGTTGCAGGAGGCTGTCTAGGTCAAAAACAGGACACGAGGTGTGTGTGTCTTGCAGCACCCCCCTCACCCCATTTTGGCTGGCAGGCTACTGCGGGAGGTGTCCATCCCATCTGCCCATGGAGAAATACAATGCTGATCCGGCCCACAAAGAAATCCAGTTGGACACCCCTTCTCTAAATACATCTGTTTTTGGAAGAATTGGAACTATTTACTGCAGTTGAGTTCTGGCAATTCATCTAGAAACACTAATTATGCAGTTTAAACAAGGGCCTGGAAAAAAAACAACTCTGCAGAAAAATCAGAATTTGTTTTGCAAAACTGTAAGACAACCACTCATTTTAACAGATTAATATTAAACAGATTATAATTTCTGATACTCAGGTTCTACCCCCTTTGACTGATGATGAAAGGGTTAAATGAGAGTGTTGTAGGGAAGAGACTACAACACCCTATGTTTTAGGTACATGCTGTAAGCCTATGGCTATTTGGCTTGGTTAATTTTGGGAATGATTCCTGGCATATTTGCAAAGGTGGGGGTGGGAGGAACCCTCTTGTTCATGGTGTTCCAGTCAAGTAGTACATTTACTACCTTATGAGCATTTCTTTTAATAACTTTAAGAACTAAAAGTTATTTAACAAGTAATACCAAGAAGCTTGTCAGAATCTTGTGATTTGAGAATGAGCAGCTGAGGAACGACGTTTATTTTTATACTTTCTCCATTTTTAAAGATGATTATTAACATACTGCCATAAATATTTCAGAAGGAGGCCTTTCGGGGAAAAAGATCAGAAAGTGGCCATTGCTATGTATAAGATGAATTAAATTGATTATATATATTTACAATGTTAACCAAGCTCTGCTTATATTTCAGAAATTCAAAGGTCAAATAACCAATACAAGTTCAGTGAGTCCATCATTTAAAATTGTGATAAAAAGCCATGAAATAAGGAACAGTAATAGAACATTCAATATACACTAAGCAATACCTATTTAGGGTTGTTCATACTAGTTCTCCACCAGTTCCAGTGGACTTTGATTTTTATAAATTCCCAAGCCAAAATACTTTTGGCTAATTTACAAACAATGTTAAACACAGAAGGGTAGGATTAGGGTTACAAGAAGTCTGGCTCACTTTAATGGCAAATATCACCATCACACATAATGTGAATAATCAACAGTGATGAAAATGAAGCTGTGAGTTTCAAGCAAATTTAAAGTCATGGTTATGTGCTCTGCACAAAATGCTTAAACATATGCAAACATGTTTGCTCATCTTCTCTAATATATAATAATACTAAAAGAAACTATGAGGTTTCAGCCCAGAAAGCAAACATTATATTGTAAACAGTGTGATATAGGGAAACTTAATAATGCAAATTATAATTAAGTGATAATCAATTAGCTAAATATAATAAAGGGCAAAAGTTATAAAAGATGGGCCACCAATGACTTCTCTCTATTTCTTGCTTTGAAAAACACCTAGCAGGTAAATATTCTAAACTATACTTCCTAGTGAAATAATAAGAGTTAAGAATCATATTAGAAAATACATGAAATTATTCTTCATGGGGGGAAATAGCAATTCAGCTTCTTAAATATGAATCACGGTCAGACAGTAACCTGGAATGTGAGGAGTAACAACAGTGAATAATCCCCCCCCCCGCAAAAAAAAGCAAAAGCAAGTTTCTATTGGCCAGACTAGAGATGTCTAGATTAGATCTAATAACAAATTTAAAATGAAATAAATTGGTGGAACACATTACTTATAAATTTGGTTCAAAGTTTAGTCAGCTGAACAAAGCAAGCACAGCAATAATAGCAATAACAGTAGACTTATATACCGCTTCATAGGCCTTTCAGGCCTCTCTAAGCGGTTTACAGAGTCAGCATATTGCCCCCAACAACAATCCGGGTCCTCATTTTACCCACCTCGGAAGGATGGAAGGCTGAGTCAACCCTGAGCCGGTGGGATTTGAACCGCTGAACTGCTGATCTAGCAGTAGCCTGCAGTGCTGCATTTAACCACTGCGCCACCTTGGCTCCACAGAGGCCAAATGGCTTACAATTCTTAACAATACCGAATACTGTAAAAAGTAAGGAAGATGAACTCGACAGAAATGTACAAGAACACTTCTAGGCCAGGGGTCGGCAAACTTAACCACTCAAAGAGCCACAAAGGTCCTAACCGGAAGCCCCCCATTCAATTCTGGAGCCAACCGGAAGTCTGGTTCCTCACCATAGAGTCTCCTCCCAGTGCTACGTCCTTTTTCGTCTGCAAACTGGAAGTCCAGCCCCCCCCCGGAAGTCCTCCTAGCACGGCATCCTTTTTCCTTTTACCGACTGGTGACAGGGAGCTGCAGCAGAGGGATGAAAGAGCCACATGTGGCTCCAAAGCCACAGGTTGCTGACCCCTGACCTAGGGAAATGGAGCCATTTTTTTTTAAGTCCAAACAAACAAGATAATTTGGAAGTGGCTCAGGAAGAAGTCCTCCCTAATTCATAAGAGTATAAGGAGAAGAAATACAACACAACCAGATTTGCAACATTAGGTAGGCTAGACAGGAAAATATATTGACATTGTCATGAATATATGGTTCCATGAAATGTTTTGAAAGCAGCAGAATTATTATGACTAAAGCCAAACAGAAAATCTTGCCTTTTTTAGATATTTCTAAAGCTCTGCATGTTATGGAATAGATATCTGCTCTAAGGGTATAAATAAATGCCCAAACTCTTACCCAGAACTTTTGGAACTGGAAGGCAAGTTATATTTCTTCAAAACTTTTCCTAAAAGAAAACAGAAAAATGGTCAGACATAAAAAAATACTTTATCAGGACTGCAAATCATTGGGACCCTATATATCTCGATATATTAAAACAATATATTTGTCCATTTTTTACATCTAATGTAATCTAATCAAGTTTTGCTTACTTGTACCTTACAACAGAGGTAAAGTAATTGCAGGGTATGAACAACTATTTGCTGTGGAGTGCTTTGAGAAGCAGTCCAAGCTACAGTCCTATTCACTAAAATAATAAATTTCTACTGAAAATGTTGTTTTATCGCATTTATCCATCAATACAAATAGAATTACTTATTTTTTTTTGCTATTTCAAAAACTGCTCATAGTTTTTTAGTACAAAGTTTTTATTTAATTCCAAGTGACTAACCTGAAGCCATATTTAGTTCACCTGCCTGCATCTATTACCTTAACATATTTAAGACAATAACACATGTCACATCCAAAAACATTTAAGTCAGGATGGAAGATATTATGTTGTGAGTCTACAGCACCATCTACTGGTGGATGGCAACTAACTTTATGAACTTTAATGAATGGTAAATTCAGTTGGTTTCTGTAAAATATGGGAGACAGCAGAAAATATTGAAAAACATTAATATAATTTAATGCAAATTTTTGTAAATAATCACGCATGCTTATTGCAACAGAAATCATAGTGGTTAAGTCTGACATTTAAACCAAAATGTTCTCAGATCAAATCATATCATAGGCTTCTTCTAGAGCAAGGGTCCCCATCCCCCGGGCCTTGGACTGGCACCAGGCCGTGCAAACAAGTGGAGCCCCATCCATAGGATGCAGGCAGCATGCGAAATCATACCCCCTCTGTTCTGCAGAAAAAGCTCTCTCCACAGAACCAGTCCCTGGTGCCCAAAAGGTTGGAGGCGCTGTTCTAGAGATGCTTAGGCAAGTGATAGGAGGATAACCATGTCCTATCCTTAAAAATAATTGTTATAAATTCCTTAGGTTAACCTTTGCTTTGAAACACCAAAGTAGTCTTCCCACTTGGTATTCTGCAGATGAGAATTCTGTGTAAGAATAGCCCTGCTGGATCAGCTTAAGGCAGACATAAGGCACACCTCAACTTAGCAATTTGTTCCCAGTCAAACGCCTCTGGGTGCTCACAAGCAGGAGGCACTGAAACTTCTTTGGACAACTGGTATTTGGAGGCATACTTCTTCAAATCTTGGAGGGAAGATTGAGTATTTAGGACAGATGGTATTCAGTTGACCTGTCCTCCATGAATTAATTCACTTTCCTTTTAAAGCCTTCAAGCTTTCAAAGGTGATAGGTTCAAAAGTGTTTTCTCTCGATTAAGATGGGGTAACCTTTAGCTCTCCAGATATTGAAACCCTACAGGTCCCAATAGCCCAAGTCACCACAGCCTATCGTGAAGAGATGTAGTTTTCTGAAATCACAGGTTTATTGTTCCTGATTTATCCTCATGGCTGAAGGCCTTGTCCCCCAAATTCTTTGCAGCAAGTACACATTTCAACATGTATTTTCAATTGCTGAGTTCCCTTCTTCCACCGAGTTAGCCAAGGAATAAAAAATGGTAGCCAACTGGCATTCTGTCCTCAATTTTCCACATTTGCTTTTGTAATCAGGAAAAAAATAAAGTTGGGATGGGGCAAGTCATTGCAGAGAAGCAAAAACAGCTTCCAGAATGGAATCGGTGCTAGATTGCTAACAATCTTACCTTCCACTGTCAATTCCACAGTCACCTGGCGAATCCCACCAGCATTTCTGGCCTGACATGTATACAGACCACCATCTTCCTCCTTCACCCCTTTAATCATCAAGCTGAAAATCCCTCCGATGCTGCAATTTGCTACACAGCGCTCTCCTGTGACAAGGTGCTCATTTCTGTACCATGTGATCTGAGGTTCAGGGTTGCCTCTAACCTAAAACAGTTCCATATAGAAATAACCAGAGGGAAGAAATGGGGGTTGGGGAAGGAAAAAAACAAAAAAAATGATTTTACCTGGAACAAATGCAGAACACTTTGCAAGCCAGTGGAAATAAGTATTTTCTGAAGTAATGTCTGTTAAATACATACAAATCACCAAGAGCCAAAACGCAAAAATCCGAACAGAAAGAAGAGAATCTACGGATGCATCATGCTGTTAATACTAGCAATGTTGATCCAAGAACTTCTTCTGCCTGTTGAGGTTTAAAAGCCAAAATTGAGAAATTTTGAGAAATAGTTTCAGATGATAAATCTATGAACCCATTTTTCAGTCTGGTGTGGCAGACATATAACAGTGTAAATTAAAACAACCATATGTAGACTGAAAATCACAGGATAGAATTTCTTTTATCAGATGAACTCTCCTTGAAAAGTATTCAGAAACAGCATTATTCAGACAATTCCATATAAACCAGCTGCAAAATAAAAAGCAAGCAACAGTCAGTGTACAAAGTCTGCTCAACAACATTTTTCACAGATGAAAATCAGATCTTTCAGATAAATTTTGTAAATTTAACTATTCTTTTTCCTTTTGGATAGTAGAAGGCCACAGAAGGCCAAAACATGGTGACTATCATCTGTGGATTATTTTACGCATTTACATTAATCTGGGCTTGAGGAAAAATTATATCTGAATCTGATTTTTAAACATTAACTCAAAGGATATGTATTTTCAACAAGGTGAACTGATAAATAATTTATTTGATATACTGTGCATGTCAAAGTTAGAATACGATGAAAGGTATATTGGGAGATACTCATATTTATATAATTTTAATATACAGGGGTACAGGTTTTATATTTGATCAATGGAGATTAAAATCAAGGGAAGATTTGCTTATATTTGAAGGTATATTGGCTTCTGCATTATGTTTTTCATTTTTTAAATTGCCAGAATGCCTTAATAATGTGTAACTCCACACAAAACTATTCAATGACCAAACAACAATGTATCATCTCACATACTCAATGAGAGACTGAAAAAAGCAATAAATATAGACCTGCCCTGTGGTATGTTTCCAGTTACACTGAACACAGCAGTTAACACAAGAGCTCAAAGATAATTCTCATTATATTTATTATCTTATTAAATTACTTTATCAGTTTCAAATCTCATGCCAATGCACAAACATGTTTGCACCCCTATTCATATTCATTTACTAGTCAATTGACTATATCAAAATACCAAACAACATCAAAAAGTAAAATGCAAAGATGCAAAGATATAAAATGAAGTGCCTTCAAATGCAATAATTAGCTTTACATTCTCCTCAATCTTTTTAATAAAATGAGTTCTTCTCATCTTTAACTCGTAGCAGACCTACGAGTAACACATGTGTACACTATGAAAGAAATAAAGTAATCTATTGTCAGTATCCCAATAGGCTATTTTGTCAACCAGTAACTTCACTATTACTGAGGCACATAATTTCCAGTAAAGGAGATCATGTATGCAGTATGTTTGTCTGATACTCGTTATTATTTATTAAGTATATGTAGCTGCCCATCTCATTTGCATGTGACTATGGGTAGTATGCACAGTTAACACTTGTATCCAATTTCTTTATTACTATGCTACTTTCACCATCGAATCATACAACTCAAATCTCACTCGGATAAAAACTGTTCTTTGGTATATTGGTTTTTTTTCTGTTTGAAATTTCTTCTTATTCTTTGCCAAGTATTTTAAGGGACTAATATCTGCAAATGACTTAATACTGATTTGGGCATTACAGGCAGAATCCTATGTTTAAACATTTTCTTGTCTAGATATTTAACTGAAGTTAGGTATTAAAACAGATAAACCATACTGCAAGATAACTCCGATAAGTAGTTTTACCCAAGGGGTGTCATATCTCATACTAATCTGTTTCTTTCAGATAACATTTTGGTATTCTGTTCAGGATCCATTAAAATAACCCTCCAAAAATAATTAGAAATTTGATCATAGATTCTAAGACAAACCACCAGCTATCCAAAACTGCCAATTGACCCATTCCAAAACTGCAGATGTTCACATAAACTTAAAATTAATTATTCTGGTAAATCTTCTTTGCTCTGTGGAAACATCTGTCATTAATAATATATTCAATAATGGTTGGCTGATGAATTTATTAACTTATCTAATATGCAACATAAGAGCTTTAACCAGAGGTGGTATTCAGCCAATATTCTGGAGAACCTGTAGCGGAAATTTGAATAGTTTGGAGAACCGGCAAATAGACTGGCCCCGCCCCCACTCCCTCCCACCTGATCTTCTTTTGTTTCCCTGAACAGGAGAATGGAGCTGGAAAGCAGGTTAGTGGGGTGGGGAGGGAATGGGGATTTTGCAGTAACCTTCCCCTGCCCATGCCCACAAAGCCATGCCACGCCCTCAAAATCACGCCCCCAGAACCGGTAGTAAAAAAAATTGAATCCCACCACTTGTTTTAACCGTTACCTATTTTTTAAAATAAGTACTACACTTTCAAAGAGAATTCAAGAATTCAAAACAAACATTTGAATTGTATGGTATACATAGTATGTTCAAGTTGAATTAAGTCCATGCTACTTGATTAATCATGGCTTCAATGAGGAAATTCTATTGATATTGAGGAAGAGCCTTTTTCTTTATAAACATGCAAATCAGGCACCTTGACTTGCATAATTCAAGATACTGAATTATCTTCCCTGAACTTCGAGTTTGCAAATGATCGTGCTCTCTTCATACATAATTGTATCCAAGAGATACAATATGTATGAATATATTTAAGATTGTACTCTAAGGACACATTCACACACAAAAAGCATACTCAAGAAGCAACAGTTTTCAAGCATAATTACATTCTATCTGGTAAATGACAGCATTCAGGCCTTCCGTTTATAATCTGATCAGATGAAGAAAAAAATCCAGATACATTTTAAATCCAAAGACTAAATTTTTAATGTAACTCTGAGACCAGCAGAAGATTTTTCAAGATCTATCTAAAATAAAATACATAGACCATGAATTTCTGAAAGAAATTGAGTGCTATGGCTCATAAGCACATAGTTAAGCATAGCAGGGTATTGTTAGGCAGAAAGTCAGCCATATAAAGTCAAATCACTGTTGCTTTTCAAGCATTAGTACAAACTAGTGTTTTAAATATCACTCCCAAAGAATAAAATTGTTCCACCAAAAAACTACTGTGGTACATTAGATGTAAAACTACAAAAGATTCCTTCTCATGCTCATAGTTTACTTAAAATCTAAATAACAAAACTATTATTCCAGAAGTCAGCAATTCATGGTTATGAAGCAAATCTTTCAAAGTTTACGCCTCATTCTCATGAATAATGAATAGCCCTAAAAAATTCTTGTTCAACTTAGTGCTCTTGAGAAGATGTAATTTTAGCAGGTCTAGAAACTACTAAGGCAGATTTAGTAGATTGTGATTTTCAATTCTTAGGATTTCTGTCTTAAGAATTCCAAAAAATATCCATTTAGGGTTATCAAAATTCTAAGTAGAGCCAGTATTTAAGTTTTAAGTTTCAATTGCATATATTATTACAAACCTATTGTTCTTAAATTTAACTGCAGAATTCACTTGGCAGCTACCAAAAGAGAAATTTAGAGACTTTTCTCTGAAATAGGAATGGAGTTCAAATTAAAATATTCTAATCATGAAGTAAAATGTACATTGTTTAACTATAAATTCCAATGCAATTTTCAACTACAACACAAAGAAATAACATTTTGAAATTCCACATCTGGTGATGTTTATGTTCTTATCCCATATGCAAATAGTACTAATAAGTAAGTTATTTTGGAATGATCCAAATAATCTATTATGCAAAGACAATATGCTTCATATTTAGACACCCCCCCCACAGTGATACAAAAATAGGAAGAAAAAAAACCAACAAAAACACGCTTTCCAATTCTCAGTTGTCTCTGACAATTTAATTAGAAACCTTATCTTATACTTAGTTACTTGCAGATCTTTTCATACCAGAGCAGTATATAAGTCCAATCAATCAATAAATACATTTCACTGGATCAAATACTTGAATCCTTACCAACAGTACAATGTAATGACTAAGGTGCTGAACTCAGAACAAGGAGTTGCAAATAGAAGTTCCTATTGACCAAAAAGCTGTGAGTGTATTTAGGCCATCACACTTCACACTTCCCTCTTGCTCTCACTCTCACTATAGTCTACCTTATAAATACTGTTTTTGTGAGAATCAAATGAAGGAAGATTTTCTCCCATCTCTCACTGAGCACTCAAGAGAAAAAATATATAATGCAAAAAATAAGTAAATTTCATGACACTTATCTTCAGGAGTGCTGTGTTGTCTATTTTTCATCCCACAATAAAAAGGGGAAAAAACTGTCAAGCTACAGAGATCTATTAGCCCGACCAACTAAACAGAACATCTACCAGCCATTTGAGGTAGTCCAAACAAGAAACCAAAGCCATGAGTAAATAACACTGCTTTTTGTTATAAAATTATAGGAATAGAATCTTGCACATCTGAAAGCACATCTCTCCTGCCTTATCTTTACTTTCTAGGGAACTAGGGTGGATCCAGACTCCAGAAGTGGGTTGCTGCTGGTTGGCCCAGATTGAGCGAATCAGTAGTGATGGTGGCTGGAGGCTCCGCCCGCCCACCTGAATGCTTCTGCGCATGAACAGAAGCATCATGCGATTGTACTTGCGCGCAGAAGCAAACCAGTAGTAAAATAAATTGCAACCCACCACTGGACAGATCCCTTCTGAGATGCTTTCTACATCTCCATTCCCTCTGTGGTCTGAGATATATCATATGACTGTTGCCCTGGATGTGGCTCTGTCTTTCAAGGATATTCCCAATACTTGCAACAGAAAACTGTTAATGATTGATTTATAAGAGACAAGGTCTAGTAATAAAAAAAAGCAGGCAGTAGCTGCAAACCATACTCTTGATAATTAT